ATCCCTCCAAAATGACCATAAAAAGTTTGGGTTTAATCCACCTAAGATGCATGACATTGGTCATTTTGAAGGTAGGGGCTAAAGTTCTTTCTAATATACCATTTTCCATTTTTTCATATAAAAAATTTGGACTTATGTGACTTGATTCGGCCAAAAGGACCACCAAAACCAAAACCAAGAAGCAGATTGAGGCCTAGGTTCCAACAATTCTAGAACCTGGGTGCCAGTTCTAGGCTCCTAAGCACCATAGCCTGGCATCTGGACTACTAAACCTAGCGCTAAGGTGTCAGTCTGGCTAGACTATCCTAATTTTGGCAAAAAAATATCAATGGAATGATTATATGAATTTCTTGGACTATGAGAGGCTATTTATGTATGAGATGTAGTCTCCAAATATAAAATGTACATCTAAAAAGTGTGGTATCAAAAATTGATGCCAATAGGTGCATCAGTCCTCGACACACGTACGCTAATTCAAAACCTGGTTTCGTGCTCTAAATTTGTGTTTGAGAGTTCTTATGTATATCTTGAGTAATGATTCCATAACATTCAAATGAGCATCAAGCATGTGCAACACCAAAAACTAATGCCAACAGTGGTGGTGGAGTACACATTGGAGTGTAAGAAACTTAAACTGATATGTAATCTGATGGAGAGGTCTGAAGCCCATCATCAACAATGTGGTTCAACTATAGCCTTTCTGGTCATTGAACAACATTCAGAACTTAGCATTGAAGGTGGAGAGATAGCAGAAGGAGAGTTGCACCCACCATTATTCAAAAAACCACCCACAATTGGAGACATCCGCCTGAGCACACATAAATCATTTGAGAAGTTTTGTTAGAAAAAATGATAGAGCTACTAAGAGTGTAAAAAAGTCTAAGAAGAGCAACACCATCACTATATAGATAGAAAATATTTCAGATGTCATAGTTTTCGACACATCACTTCCAGTTGCTCGACAAACAGAGTTGTGTTTATCATCGAGCAGGGTGCAGTGGAGGAAGTTAGCGATGCAGAGACAACTGAAGAAAAATGTGATAAGTACCAACTTCCATTGAATGATGGAGAGCGAGATGCTTGTAGTTCGATGAGTCCTACATACTAATTCTATAAGGGATCAGTAGTAGCTTCGCCACAACATATTTTATGATTGTTCCTCTATGAAGGAAAAAAATATGCAGTCTCATAAATTATAGGAGTAGCAAGACGTGAAATCTACACAGATGGTGAAAATTTTAGCCTTGTGACTTAAAGGTATTCATAGTCATATTTCCAGATGTAGTTGAAGAAGGAGAACAAAGTTCACTTTAACATGAGGTGTCTCGTGAAATTTTTCATTAGGAACTAGCTGGATCGAGTGTAGTGCAACATAGTGCCTATGAGTGTCTACCATCATTTGTTGGGGATATCATGATAGTTTGACCACAAGACTCTAAATAATGGGTTCAGGAACACGTGCTCTTTCACCAATGATGGCAAGTTTTTCTATTGTATGTAGAGTTCAAGATTATAGGTGCCCTTGTGACCAGAGGAAAATATGTTGAAATTTTCATACCTATTTTATATTATTTTTTATGATATTACACTTTAAAGAAAGGTATTTTTAATGTTTTGTTGCAGGAATGATGAATTAGAGTCAATGGAGCAAAAAATGCAAAAAAGAGCGGATTTGGAGCAAAAAGAACCAAATTGTGGAGATTTGAACTAGAGCGCCGACAACGCCATCGACGCCGCAGACGGTGAGCTTTTTCCGAGGCTACAGGACAAATTCTCCAGAAGGTCGCCGACGGAGCCATCGAGGCCGCTGACGGCGAGATCGACAGTTATGTGTACTTGTGCAATGGATAAGGTCAAATTTTGGAGGGGTGCTTAAGCAACTCTTGGAAAAAATCATCTACATCATTAAAGGAAAGATTTTGGCCGAGCGAAAAGAAGAGGAGGTGGTGAGAGCTCTAGAGAGGCTGGAGGTTAGAAAGGTTCCATTAGAGTGAAGAGATTGTGAGGAATTCTTCGAGAGATTGTAAGAGTGGGGGGAAAGTGAGAGATTTCTTCTTCCTTGCTATTTCGAAGAGGAGTTCTGTGTGCTATAAAGAAATGAAGAGATTCAGAGCAACTTTGAGGAGTTTACTTGGGGAGAAATTAGAGATAAGTTTAGTTATTTGTTATAGTTTGTATGACTTTGAATTTATATATGAATTCCGAGTTTTTTTGCACTTTCCCCATGAGATCTGAGTAGTTTTCACTGTCTTTCTCCTTGTCTTGAGATTTATGAAATGATGATTTGAATTGGTGAAGCCATGAAAATGTTTAAGAAATTGTGATGATCTTTTCACCTCGATCTTAATTTACTTTCAATCTGGTCAATTGATTTGTTAAAATATGTTAAGTTTTACAACTAAAGTGAAGATTACATCCACGATTCAGGGAGGTCAAAGCCCTTGGAAGTTGGGTGTAAATAAATAGAGAAATATTACTATCGGGCTTAGAATTGGCGATTTTAGAGTGACAGACTAAAATCCTCAATTCGGTCCTATTGTTTGGATGCTGATGTGTAAATGTTAGCCCTCAGGTGAGGGGAACATGGGAGCTCCAAAGTGAGAGCTGATAGAGCCGGTATCCTCCCAGCCCAGCCGCAG